ACAGTTCTCTAAACTCTGCAGTGCCTTGATCCTGAGGTTGCTGGTCTTAAGATACTGTACCTGCAATGCCTGTGATCATTGCAAAATCTCTATGTTCTATGCAAATATACAGTTTGAAAATATTGCTGATGTTGCTACCATGTGCTTAGCAAAATGTAAGATGCCATTGTTGAGAATGAAGCAGTCTTTTCTTTAGGCACTCTGTGACCAGGTTAGTATGGAGTCAGGGTGGCTTTCACTACAACAATATAGGGGAGCCTCACCTCCTCCAGCGTTCACACCTGGTTCACAGAGGATTACTTTAATGGGGGTTAGCTCCTTCATTAATGTCCAACAGGCTTCGTGCTTGTTTTAGGGGCCACCCAGATACCTGTAGAATGGGGAGGATGTGAACTGAGGTAGCCCAAGTGCATGTTTATTTTGGACATAACTCATTCCGCTGTTTAAAATATGCTACCACTTGAAAAATAGGTGCGAGATATTCTGATGTTTGCTCTGAATGTGTCTGGAGGGGAGGTAGCTTCACAAAGTACTGCTCAGAGCTCAGTGATTTCTTCAGTGACCGAAACTGAAGATTGGAGTATCAAGATTTGTACAGTTCATATGATTTTCCAGCCATTTATCTTAATAGATGGAAAATCTGAATTTTCAATCTGTGCTGCCATCACATGGAACTTTGCACTGGGAGTGTTAATTTGCAAAATCTACCCCGTCTGCTTTACCCTCAGAAGAGTAATTCTTGTACAATCGTGTTATATTTCCATTTTCCACGAGGCAATTTCATCACCTTTGTGAATGAAGCTGCCAATTCACTTACAATGTGTTTTTAATTATGAGATGTTTTGTATTGTGGATTGGTGCCCACTAATAATGGGGCAAGAGCGCTTAGTTCTTTCTAAGCGTAGGATTATTTCAGTTAGTAAGAAGAGTAGATTTTCATCACTCTCTTTTCCCACATCCCACATTTTTCTCTTCAGCACTATCTGTTCATTCTCTCTCAACTCTACTTGCCTTTTTTTGGTTTTTATCACCCTTCTGTGGGGCCTGCTTCTTTTTTGGTCTTCTGTTCATTAAAGATAGACACTCAGAATATCACTTCAATCTGTCCTTTCTTTTTACAGGCACTGATTGACCTCAATTTCCAGCACTTATTTGTTTATTTCAGCTGGACAGTAGTTTCTGCTCATAAAGTAAACTGGAACTGAGCCTTGCTCAATAAAAACAAAAGTAAATATTTTGCCAGTCCATTACACGATTGTGTTCCATACACTGGCTAATATTTATTTGTATTTTGAGTTCAAATATTTAACTTTTTTTTACATTCTGTTTACATAAACATAATGAAATTATACAAATTATTGTAGAATAGTTACAACGTAAAGGAACCCTGTGCTTCCTCTCTGCAAGAACAATTTACCTAGTCTCCCCTGAGAAGGAAAAATAATATTTTACAAAAATACAAAAAGAAATCATAAATGCTATGCACTCCAAAGACCTCCTTGTGAATGCAAGTCACAGAATCTGGACAATGTATCAAATGATTACTGCGACCATGGGAGGGAACAGGAGCCAATCCGACCAATGTGATTGTATCTACCATTGCACCTACCATCTACTTCATTGATGTTTTTTAGGGAAGGAAGTCTGCTGCATTTCAGGCAAACAGCAATGCATTTCTAGAATTGACCAACAAGCCATTTAGATGTATATCAAACCACAGTATAAAAATCAAATCAAAATAAAACAGGACAGATGATCCAGGATCAAACTAGGCATCAGGTAGGATATTGTGCACACATTATCCAGCCAAACCCTCCGTACTAACATCTGGAGACTTGTACCAAAATTGGGGGAGGTGTCCCACAGACTAATCAAGCAACAGCCCAATATAGTTATACTCACAGCATCATACCTTACAGTCTTTGTACCAGACTTCTCTATCACTATCACCTAAAAGCACCAGGCAACCTGATGAAAACTTACGGATTCAGTACATTTCTCCAAGAGAGAGCCTGCTCTGCTTCTAGGAGAGTTGGTTTATTTCTTTTGGTTTTTGGTACTCACCTTGCTGCTTTCCTATACGGTGGCTCAGTGGTGAGCACTGCTGCCTCACAGTGCCATGGACCCAGACTTGATTCAAGCTGTTGTGACTGTCTGTGTAGAGTTTGCATGTTCTTCCTCTGTCTGTGTGGGTGTCCTCCAGGTGCTTCGGTTTTCTCCCACAGTCCAAAGATGTGCATGTTAGATGGATTAACTATGCTAAATTGCTCATAGTTTCCAGGTATGTGCAGGCTAGGTGGATTAGCCATGGGAAATGCGGGGTTATGGGGATAGGGTGGGTCGAGTTGGGATGCTGTTCAGAGGGCTGGAACAGATGCAATGGGATAAATGGCCTTTTTCTGTACTGTAGGGATTCTATGCAATCACTAGCTTGTATCAGAATAAGCAAGGCTCCACCGCCTCCGCCTCCACGCTTACTTCTTCAACTGTGAGCCTAACCCTCCCTCTACTGACCCCTTCGCCGACCTCCAACACACCCCATCCTCCTGGACACCACCCCAAGGCCTCCTACCCTCCCTCGACCTCTTCATCTCCAACTGCCGTCGAGACATCAACCGCCTCAAACTCTCCACCCCTCTCACCCACTCCAGCCTCTCCCCCACAGAACGTGCAGCCCTCCGCTCCAATCCCAACCTCACCATAAAACCCGCGGACAAGGGAGGCGCAGTTGTAGTATGGCGCACTGACCTCTACATCGCCGAGGCCAGGCGCCAACTCTCCGACACCACCTCCTACCGCCCCCTTGATCATGACCCCACTCCCGAGCACCAAACCATCATCTCCCAAACCATCTACAACCTCATCACCTCAGGTGACCTCCCACCCACAGCCTCCAACCTCATCGTTCTCCAACCCCGCACCGCCTGCTTCTATCTCCTTCCCAAAATCCACAAACCTGACTGCCCTGGTCGACCATTGTCTCCGCCTGCTCCTGCCCCACTGAACTTATCTCCACCTATCTCGACTCCATTTTCTCCCCCTTGGTCCAGGAACTCCCTACCTATGTCCATGACACCACCCACGCCCTCCACCTCCTCCAGAACTTCCAATTCCCCGGTCCCCAACACCTCATCTTTGCCATGGACGTCCAGTCCCTATATACCTGCATTCCCCATGCAGATGGCCTTAAGGCCCTCCGCTTCTTCCTGTCCCGCTGGCCCGACCAGTCCCCCTCCACTGACACCCTCATCCGCTTAGCTGAACTCGTCCTCCCCCTGAACAACTTCTCTTTCAATTCCTCCCACTTCCTACAGACAAAGGGGGTGGCCATGGGTACCCGCATGGGCCCAAGCTATGCCTGCCTCTTTGTAGGTTACGTGGAACAATCCCTTTTCCGTACCTACACTGGCCCTAAACCCCACCTCTTCCTCCGTTACATTGATGACTGTATCGGCGCCGCCTCATGCTCCCGCGAGGAGCTCGAACAGTTCATCCACTTCACCAACACCTTCCATCCCAACCTTAAGTTCACCTGGACCATCTCTAACACCTCTCTCTCCTTCCTGGACCTCTCTGTCTCCATATCGGGCAACCACCTCGAAACCGATATTCATTTCAAGCCCACCGACTCCCACAGCTACCTAGAATACACCTCCTCCCACCCACCTTCCTGCAAAAATGCCATCCCCTATTCCCAATTCCTTCGCCTCCGCCGCATCTGCTCCCAGGATGAGGCATTCCACTCCCGTACATCTCAGATGTCCTCGTTTCTCAAGGACTGCAACTTCCCCGCCTCAGTGGTCGAGAACGCCCTCGACCGTGTCTCCCGCATTTCCTGCAACTCATCCCTCACCCCACCTCCACGCAATAACAACCAAAACAGAATCCCCCTCATCCTCACGTACCACCCCACCAACCTCTGGATCCAACGCATCATCCTCCGACACTTCCACCATCTGCAATCCGACCCCACCACCAAAGACATTTTTCCCTCCCCACCCTTATCTGCTTTCTGGAGGGACCACTCTCTCCGTGACTCCCTTGTCCGCTCCACACTCCCCTCCAGCCCCACCACACCCGCTGCTTCTCCCTGCAACCGCAGGAAGTGCTACACCTGCCCCTACACCTTCCCCCTCACCCCCATCCCAGGCCCCAAGAAGATTTTCCACATCAAGCAGATGTTCACCACATCTGCTAATGTGGTAAACGGCATCCGCTGTTCCCTTTGTGGCCTCCTCTACACTGGGGAAACCAAGCAGAGGCTTGGGGACCGCTTTGCAGAACACCTACGCTCGGTTCGCACTTAACAACTGCACCTCCCAGTGGCGAACCATTTCAACTCCCCCTCCCATTCCTCAGACGACATGTCCATCCTGGGCCTCCTGCAGTGCCACAACGATGCCACCCGAAGGTTGCAGGAACAGCAACTCATATTCCGCTTGGGAACCCTGCAGCCCAATGGTATCAATGTGGACTTCTCAAGCTTCAAAATCTCCCCTCCCCCTACTGCATCCCAAAACCATTCCAGCTCGTCCCAGCCTCCCTAACCTGTCCTTCCTCCCACCTATCCCCTCCTCCCACCTCAAGCCCCACCCCCATCTCCTACCTACTAACCTCATCCCGCCCCCTTGACCTGTCCATCCTCCCTGGACTGACCTATCCCCTCCCTACCTCCCCACCTACACACCTTTACTGGCTCCATCCCCACCACTTTGACCTGTCTGTCTCCTCTCCACCTATCTTCTCTTCTATTCATCTTCTATCCGCCTCCCCCTCTCTCCCTATTTATTTCCGAACCCCCTCCCCCTCCCCCATTTCTGAAGAAGGGTGTAGGCCCGAAACGTCAGCCTTCCTGCTCCTCTGATGCTGCTCGGCCTGCTGTGTTCATCCAGCTCTACACCTTGTTATCTCAGATTCCCCAGCAGCTGCAGTTCCTACTATGTCCCTCCAACTGGAGTTATTTTTAACTATGGTAAAGGCTATAATAGATCTTCAGACCTTTAGCTCATTATGTCGTAACATGGCTCCCCAGGCTTCTGCACCTCATCTATCCGTTTGCACAGTTTGCAGAGACAAGGAAGGCTGTAGAAGCTGAAACTCCAGGCTCGGCTATACCTCCTTCCTGACCCACAGCTTTTAACAGAACTGACATCATCAGGAATGGGCTGAAGCTCCAAACCTTGTAAAAACAGGCAGGATTTTAATCAGATTGGAAGTTCAGTCTGATTTTCTGTGCCTGAGGAAATTGGGCCAGAATCAATCTTTTCATTAAATTTCTTGTGATTAAAATAGGTTACAGCTTAATTTCTGAAGTATGTTCTCCAACTGAAGAAGAGGAGCATTGTATATGGATTCCCAATGCAAAAGGCAAGGGAAGTAATTTCTCTATCACTGGTATTTAAGAGTTAAGTGGTGCATGAATTTAATAACAATAATGTCTAATAATTCATAGTGATTGGAGAGTTGCCCTGCTTGGAAGCATCTGGAATACTATAAAATACAAAATATCTTCCATCAGTAATAGAAAACAATGGGGCTGGCAGCATCTGTGGAAAGAAAACAGGGTTAATGCTTTGGGTTGAGTGACCCTTCAGAACTGAGGAAGGGTCACGGGACCCGAAACGTTAACTTTAATTTTTCTCCACAGATGCTGCCAGACCTGCTGAGCTCTCCCAGCAATTTCTGTTTTTGCTTCTGATTTACAGCATCAGCAGTTCTTTCGGTTTTTAAAAAAACAGTGGGCTTCCACAGACCACTTTGTCAAAACATAAATGGATAATGTCAGGGAAAGGTGACCATCACTTTGGAAGCTTTTTCTCTTCAATGGGTAAAATAATTGTGTGATTCTTACCAACACATTCTCTGCGTAGATCTTGTTTGAAACCCATATTACATTCACAGCGGTAACTTGTTGGTGTGGGGATGCAGCGTCCATTCAGACAGAGATTGGTGAAGTGTTTACAGACATCTATATTTGTCTGATTAATAGAAACAGTGCCTGGAAGAAATTCACATCTTCATTTAATAATAAAGCAACATAACTGATTAATATAATGCTCAATGTTGAAACGGCTTTGTGCATCAACATTCCAGTGATTGTTTTGGGAAAGGTTTATATGAAAAGAAAGGTCACATTTCAATCTAGCTCCATATTTTTAAAAAAATTTTTAAACTCTCATTAGTTGTTTACATTTAAAATTCAGAAAGAACAACCCTGAATCCAATACTCATATAATTAGTCTCTGTTCGTACAATAAATTTGCTCATTTTCTGTTACCTCATCATTGGGAATTCACGATGCCTGGAGGAGTGAACTGGGAGGTGGGGGTATGGAGGTGGAGGGCTGGTGGAGAGTAGGGAGCTCACTGCTTTCTCACCACCATGGTAATTCTGTCAGTGCTTGGGATAGTAGAGGATGGCCCACTTAAGTGGCCAATCTTGGTGCCATGGCAGCTCAGTGGTTAGCACTGCTGCCTCACAGCGCTATGGACCCAAATTTAATTCCAGCCTTGGGTGACTGTCTGTGTGGAGTTTGCACATTCTCCCCGTGTCTGCGTGGGTTTCCACCAGGTTCTCTGGTTTCCTCCCACAGTCCAAAGATGGGCCAATTAGGTGGATTGACCATGGGAAATTGTCTGTAGTCAGACAGGGAAAAACAAACCATGTCCTTTTCTCACAGCATTCAGTTGCTGTATTGTGTAATATAAATGTTCAGCATCACATACAATCACTTTGATAGCTCCTGTGAAAGGATAAATACGTAAGGTAAGCATGAGGTTAGGGTGTCAGGTGGGTAGGCGGTAGAATGTCGGGTAAATAGGATGCCAATCCACAATGTGGGAAGAGGGGCAGGTGAGTGATGGAGTGCCCAGGATAAGTTGGAGTGAGTGGGAAACACCTGGTCTGATTGGGGAGGGGGTGGTCATGTCAGATGGTGGAGGAATGCTGTGCTGGAGTGAGAGGGGAGTCTCAGGTCAAAGCAAAAGGGGGTCATCATCCAGTTTTGGGGTTGGTGTTGGTGGATGTGGGGGGGAGGTGTTGTACCAGGATCTGGTGGGGACTGTAAGAGTTCTGGGGGAGTTGTAGTTGGTATGTGTGTTGTAACCTTGGTTTGGAGGGTTAGTTTAATAGCTACCCAGGACTTAATTGTTCAACATTTCCTGGCTAACCATTTATTTAACTGCAGTGAAACCTGCCAGGTTTTTCCATTTAAATGGTTCCTTTCGGAGGGTTCTGTGCTTACAGGAATTACCCTGCGGTAAATTCAGTTTCCCAGGCAATTCCTTTAGTCTGCTACATTGAGAATTCTGCAGAGTCTGATACATAACTTCCATCTATGATACAGCAACGAGTAACAGGCTAATGGAAAATCCAGATCAATATTGCTTTCTAAACCGTGAAACTGCAGATCTTTTGATTTTGTTTCCTCATCTTTACTGTTAGCATTTTTGTTTTTAAAATAGATATTACTACAAATAGAAAGACATGGAATTCAAACTTACTAATGTCCGAAATCTTGCGGGGTCTGTTAATGATCTCACCTCTACCTGTACCTCCCCCTGGATCACGATCAACAGTGGCAAGACTGATGGCAGGATCATGGGGTCTAAAGCGTCTTCTGTCAAAATCAAAATCAGGTAAACCTGGAGTGTCAAATCCTTGTCTAGAATTTGGACCATGCTGCGGAACACCTTGCACTACCGGAGCGCCTTCAATGCAAAGCCTGCGATATTCATCTGAGTTGAAGAACATACATATAATTAGAATGACTTAGTAATAATATCATAATGTTCTTAATAGTTGTTCATGCACAAGATGTTCAACCAAGGCGCTGCGCGATCTCACAGGCAGACAAAGATGAGGTAAAGTGGAGTTCATTCCAGTGGCCTGGCCAATAATTGTACCATGATCAAGTTTATCACGTTGCTGTTTACAGGATTTTGTTCTCAAAACAGCTGTTGTGCTTCCTGCATTACAATGACTACACTTCCAAAGTCTTTCATTTGTTGTAAAACACTTTGAGATGCCTGGTAGCTCTGAAAGGCATTACCTAAATTTCATCCAGCTGTACACCTTGTTATCGCTATTACCTAAATGACAGTCCTTTTTAAAGGTGTTTGGTATGGCCTGAGGACTTGTAACAATGTAAATATAAGTACATTCTTCCTTTTCAAAAATTGAGTTTCTATTAAATCGTATAGCTAGTGGAGGAATGTGGAACATGATAAATCAACTATGTGTCACTGACAACAATTTAGGATTGTTCAAAAGCAAAACACTGCTCACTGCTCGAAATCTGAAACAAAAGAGAAGGAATTTGGGAAATACTCAGCAGATCATGCAACATCTGAAAAGATAGAAGGAGTGTCAGTGTACTCAAATTGTCAACTCTGTTTCTCCATCCACAGATGATGCCAGACCTGAGTTTCTCCAGTTCTTTCTGTTTTTGTTTAAGAAAGAAAATGAATTGAGGTTTTGTCAGGAATGGAAAAGCTAAAGATGGAACAGATTTTATGGAACAGATGGAAGCAGGAACTAGGGAATGGAAAGAAAGAACAAAAGAAAAGGCCTATGCCAATAGGGTAGAAAAGACCACTGGCAGAATTTTCACTTTGGAGCCTGGAAACTGATGGCCGGACTGTGGTCCTGACTCCACCAGGGACTGGGAGGTAGGAAAGGATAGTCATAGCCTTTCAATGAGTTTCAACGAGGCACATGTGTGGGCTGTTATATATTGGAAGAAGAGCTAGGCAGTCAAATAGCAGCTGCAGGAGACACTGTGTACGTGCAGATCATGTTCTAAAGCATCCCGGCAGCAATGGCTGTAGTCACTGATGTAATGAAAAGGGTGCACCGTGGATTCAGGAGAAAAGGCAGGGCTTCACCTTAATTCACCAAAGTCAACCTTGAGACCATTCTGGTGATGAAGGGAGAGCACAGCGGCCTCTTTTCAGACGATGGAAGGAGAGGATCACCCACCAATATCCACACTGGCAGAGCTGCATGTGGCTGAGATCACCCACAGCAGGAAGTGTGGCTGATAAGAACAGGGTTGTGAAAGTTTCAATTCCTCTTTTTTGCTCTGCCACTGAGACAACAATGACAAACTTATCAGACAAGGACAAACTCAAGCAGACATTCCTGTTGAGGAGCCTGAAGACTGCTCTTGACCAGAATGTGTCCACAGAAGACCTACAGACCCCACAGCAAGGCTTAGAACCGGAGCACTGTTGGGAACTTGCCTGAGCGGATACATGCAGTTTCCAAAGTTTATCATTCACTGTCACTGGTCACAGAGAGCAGCAGTGCCCTTGGTCTCCCTCTTTGATCCATGCAGGAGAAAACGGCTCACAATGTCAGGGCCCCTGCAGGAGTGCACAATATCTACTACCACAGAGGAAGAAGCCACAAATATCAGCTGGATAGCTCTGAGGGAGCAAGTCAAGGAAGATCGAATGTGTCTTCCTGATGGAGTGGGTGAAAACTGATTAGAATTTGGAGTTGACGAGGTTGGAGTGCCTTCCTGCATGTTGAAGACAGAGGAATGCTGGGAAGCCTCAGCAATCTATAGGCTACTGTTTTCAAAGGTTTCTCTCCTGAATTCTTCCTGCATCTCCTCCAGGTTCTATTCTGGAGGCAGAATACCAGTGTCCAATATACAGGGCACCAGGGTACACAAAACAAACCAGAACACCAGAGCCAAGACCCTACAAGAGAACTCTTCACAAGAACTGACAAACCCACATCAGTGGGGCCATGCCCCAGATTAGATCAGGTGAAAAGCATGTCATGACAGAAAGAATAGAGCCAGACAGAGGGTAGATGCTCGGCAGTGATAATGCATGTGTTATTTATTCAGCGAATGCCAATCTCCAAACTCAAGTGACAACTTCCCCACCTGGTCACTTTGAGGTTAAGGGTGATTAGTCTGCCATTTCGAATGTAGGCAGCATATCCCTCAGGAATGTACATAGAAACATTGAAGATAGGAGCAGGAGGAGGCCATTCAGCCCTTTGAGCCTGCTCTGCCATTCTTTACGATCATGGCTGATCATCCAACTCAATAGCCTAATCCTGCTTACTCCCCATAATCTTTGATCCCATTCACCCCAAGTGCTATATCTAGCCGCCTCTTGAATACATTCAATGTTTTGGCATCAACTACTTCCTGTGGTAATGAATTTCACAGGCTCACCACTCTCTGGGTGAAGAAATGTCTCCTCACCTCTGTCCTAAACCGTCTACCCCGTATCCTCAGACTGTGACCCCTGGTTCTGGACACACCCACCATTGGGGAACATCCTCCCTGCATCTACCCTGTCGAGTCCTGTTAGCATTTTATAAGTCTCTATGAAATCCCCCCTCATTCATCTGAACTCCAGCGAAAACAATCCTAACCTAGTCAATCTCTCCTCATATGTCAGACCCGTCACTCCCTTGAGAGCAAGAGCATCCTTCCTCAGAAAAGGAGACCAAAACTGCCCACAGTATTCTAGGTGTAGTCTCACCAAGGCCCGGTATAACTGCAACAACACATTCCTGCTTCTGTACTTGAAACCTCTCACAATGAAGGCCAACATACCATTTACCTTCTTTACCACCTGCTGTACCTGCAGCTTACCTTCAGCAACTGGTGCACAAGGACACCCAGGTCCCGCTGCACACTCCCCTCTCCCAGTTTACAGCCATTCAGGTAATAATCTGCCTTCTTGTTTTTGTTTCCAAAGTGAATAACCTCACATTTATCCAAATTATATTGCATCTGCCATTGATTTGCTCACTCACCCAACCTGTCCAGATCATGCTGAAGGATCTCTGCATCTTCGTCACAGTTCACCCTCCCACCCAACTTGGTATCATCTGTAAACTTTGAGATGTTACATTTTGTTCCCTCATCCAAATCATTAATATATATTGTGAATAGCTGGGGTCCCAGCACCGATCCCTGTGGCACCCCACTAGTTACTGCCTGCCAGTTTGAAAAGGACCCATTAATTCCTACACTTTGTTTCCTCTCTGCCAACCAGCTTTCTATCCATCTCAGTGCACTTCTCCCAATCCCATGTGCTTTAATCTTGCACGTTAATCTCTTATGCCGGATTTTGTCAAACACTTTCTGACAGTCCAAATATATTACATCGACTGGCTCCCCCTTGTCAACTCTACTGGCTACGTCTTCATAGAATTCCAACAGTTTTGTCCAGCATGATTTCCCCTTCATAAATCCATGCTGACTCTGTCTGATCGTGCCACTGCTTTATAAATGTTCTGCTATAAAGTCCTTGATAATGGATTTGAGAATTTTCCCCACTACCGATGTTAGGCTCACTGGTCTATGAGTCCCTGTTTTCCTTCTACTTCCTTTTTTGAATATTGGAGTGACACTAGCCACCCTCCAATCTGCAGGGACTGCTCCAGAGTCTATGGAATCCTAGAAGATGACCACCAATGCATCCAATATTTCTAGAGCCACTTCCTTATTTATTGATCATTCCTATTCGTCCTTGAGAAGGTGGTGGTGAGCTACCTTCTTGAACTGCTGTAGTCCGTGTGCTGTAGGTAGACCCACAAAGCCATTAGGGAGGGAATTCCAAGTTTTTGTCCCAGCTACACTGAAGGAACAGTGATATGGTTCCCATTCAGGATGGTGAGTGGCTTGGAGGGGAACTTGCAGGTGATGGTGTTTCCATGTGCCTGCTGCCCTTGTCCTTCCTACGAAGAAGTGGTTGTGGGTTTGGAATTTGCTAATTAAGGATCTTCGGTGAATTTCTGCAGTGCGTCTTGTAGATAGTACACACTGCTGAATGTTGATGGTGGAGGTAGTGGATCCTTGTGGATGTGGTGCCAATCAAGCGAGCTGCTTTGTCCTGGATGGTGTCAAGCTTTTCGAGTGTTGTTGGAGCTGTATGCATCCAGGAAAGTGGGGAGTATTCCATCACATTCCTGACTTGTGCCTTGTAGATAGAGGACAGGCTTTAGGAGTCAGGAGGTGAGTTACTTGCTGCAGTATTCCTAGCCTCTGACCTACTCTGGTAGGTGTTTATGTGATGAGTCCAATTGAGTTTCAGGTCAATGGCAACCTCCAGGATGTTGATAATGAGGGATTCGGTCATGGTAACACTACTGAATGCCAAGGGGTGGTGATTAGATTGTCTACTATTGGAGATGGTCATTGTTATTTTTCAGCCCACACCTGGATATTGTCCAGATCTGTTTCTATTGAACATGGGCTGCTTCAGTATCTGAGGAGTTGCAAATGGTGCTGAATGAGGAGAGATGGGATGAGGAGAGGCCAAGGAGAACAGATGAGACAGGATAAGGGGAGGATGAAAAGAGGGGAAATGGGGAGAGATAGAAAATATATGTCAAGGGCTAGGATAGGGATGGTACAGGAAAGAGAAATAAAGGTATCAAAAGATAGGAGATACATCTCACTGGGCGCTGGGAAGTTTGACTGGGAAGGCAAAATGTCCTGGTTGAGAAATCAAGAATGAACCATGTGTATAAGCATTCCAGGACAACATTACAATGTCTTTCCTCACACCTTTCATCTTGTTTGACAGTTTCAGCAGGCATTATTTTTGGGGCAGTGGGGGGGGTGCAGTCAGACAGTAAGCACCTTATCCATTATCTGATGTTACCTCATCCACATTCGAGTTTGAGATTGCTGCATTTTGTTTCTTACCAGAACCTCTGATTGGACACATCTCTGGAACAGAGCCAAGGGCCCAACAGCGCCCAGATTCACAGCAACACTGCATCTTGGTGTAGCGTATGGTCTGCTCCTGAGCACAGCGGCCATTTGTTAGGCTGTAAAAGCACGTCCCAGCTCTCTGATCTGGGAAGGAAATAAAAAGATCGATGGCTGATTTCACTTTCAATTTCTAAAGTACTTTCATGGTGCAGTTTTGTAAACGCTTATATAAATACCAGTAGAACATTTTAAAAAGTAGTAGTTTTAACACGTTTTTAAAGAAATCTTCCCACTATTCTTTTCCTTTTCTTAATACACTGATCCTTTTCGTTGTAGTTTCACTGAAACTCTCCATTACCTCAAACAAATCAACGTTATTAATACTTTCCAAATGTGCAGATCAGACAAAGAAGTCGAATTGTATTCTCAGACAACAAGGTGCTGAGCTGGATGAACACAGCAGGCCAAGCATAACCCTATCGCTCCTATGATGCTGCTTGGCCTGCTGTGTTCATCCAGCTCTGCACCTTGTTGTCTCGGATTCTCCAGCATCTGCAGTTCCTACTATCTCGAATTGTATTCTCAACTGGGCTTCGCACACTCTTTCCACAAGAGATCATTGGATAACTGTCAGGACCTGGACTTTTCTGATTCTTTACCTGCCTCCAGCCCAAGGATATTGAAGTTATTGAGGCTGGGTGCTGAACAAACTCAGCGTATTACGATGGTTGAACCTTGGAATCTTACCAATGGAACAGAAACAGAAAGCATCAAAAAAATGACCAGTGCTTTATACGATTGTATTTCCAACAGCAAAGCTCACACCAAAAACATATGGTGAGCTATTACTTGTTATTCTTCATTGCAGAAGACATTCTAATAACATATATGTGTCTTATCTTTACATTTGTCATAGCCTGATATCAATTGTGGTCTTCGAACATGTTAATCCAAGTAAACAACCCAGTACACCAAGCCAACTTCCCAATGTTGCATCATGTCCAATTTAATTATGTTAGAATAAAGTAACACTGAATTTGATTGCATGTCTGAAGCATGACCAATTTATTGATTAATTAGACAAATGTAAGCTGAGTTGAGAATCATCCTATCCAGACATCACATTGCTCAATTTCATGCATAAATATAATCATCACAGAATCCCTACAGTGTGGAAACAGGCCCTTTGGCCCAACAAGTCCACACCGACCGTCAGAGTATCCCACCGAGAACCATCCCCCCATTCGAGGCATCGCTGAACACTACAGGCAATTTAGCATGGCCAATCCACCTAGCCTGCACATCTTTGGACTGTGGGAGGAAACTGGAGCACCCAGAGGAAACCCACACAGACACGGGGAGAACGTGCAAACTCCACACAGACAGTCGCCCAAGGATGGAATCTAACCCGGGTCCCTCCTGCTGTGAGGCAGCAGTGCTAACCACTGAGCCACCATCCCACCCAGTTACACATTGGTAGAGTGATAGCAACCTTTGCAGAACGTTACATATGGTTAGCTTGTATGGCTGGTTTGTGATGCAGAGCGATGCCAATAGTGTGGGTTCAATTACTCCCCACTGGCTGAGGTTATTGTGAAGGGCTCTCCTTCTCAATCTCTTTCCACAACTGATGCATGGTGACCCTCAGGGTAAACTCAGCACTAGTTTTTGTTCTCTAATGGGAGAGTGGGATTAGACCAACTTTACCTTTGCTTTCGTGTATCCCAAAGAGAAATTAGCAGGAATTTTTACAATCCACAAAATGATTTTCTGTGGGGCAATGGCTGGTGATATAGAATTTGAAGGGATTGTTCCGGATAAAATAAAAGGCAATTTAAGATTGGAAGTCAGGCTTTGGAGGCTTTTAAATACATAGGCTTGGGTATTAAGCTTGAATTAAGAAAAATGCACATTGAGGTTTCCAGCCTTGGTTAACCGAGAAAATCTGAAGCTAGTTCTTTTCAGTGATGCTGCACATGACAATTTTTCTGATAAATATTCTAGTGTGGCAAGGTTTATCAGATTGATGTTGGGAAAAAATATTAAGAGTTAATATTTATTAAATGTCCATTGGCTTAGGAAGTCAAGTAAATGAAAAAAGGTTAATTAAAAGCACCTTAACTGTTGAATCACTGACACTACTGCAAACAACAGATATGGTGTGTATTTATTTGACATTCTGAAGAAAACCCTATTCAGTACAAGAGACAACAAGAGAAAAATGTGCCTTTCGAATGTTATATCAATAATAATTTTCTTTGCAACAATGTATGTTTGACAAAAGGTGTCAGTAAGAACAGGTTGATGATTGATCTTGTTAGCATAAAGGAAATGTTAGAAAGGAATGAAATTTCCAAATTAAAGTAGATTGATGCAACTCTAGTTGTCAGAACGTTTCACAAGAAAAGACACTTATTTGAACTAATTATTGGAGATCCTCATAGAGGGAGACCCAGGGGCTGGAGCAGTCCAAAGGCAAATAAGGTTTTTGCTTTAGTTCAGATCATTTTAGTAACTAACATGTAATAATTTTTATATTAAAAAATGGAAAATGTGGAATGTTGCATCATCAGACAAAAATATAGTATATGATAATATATTTAATTTTGAAATTCTTCAGTTCATGACTTGTTTGCCTTTAAAAGTTTTATTTAAAAATAAGAAGAAAATGTGAGCAGAGTTAAGCAGCTGACTGCAGTTAATTAATTAGTTGATGGACTAAATATAAAAGGGAGAAAGGTGATACACGTGTGTGGAACAAGCTGTGTGTAGGAATTTATTGACTACTCAATGTCCAAGTGTACGGTGTCTAGAGTTCTACCTCCAACAGATTTAAACCTGAATTGAGATCACAATGGTGTGGAGGTTGAAAGTAATAGATTGATTGACAGCTGTGAGAGATCATCAAAGGATAAGTTGTCCTTGATATAGAATTATGAATACAAATATTTGTTTTGAGTTGAATTAACTACGTGAGGGCACTTAAATGTATTGATTTGGATTTTGGATCCAAAGTATTATTATAATGTGATGTTTGTAATAGATACTCAGAACATTATTTTATTTAATCTCACCGTAGCAGCTGATTCTTGTCATAGTATACACTGGGTGAGCTGGCATGGAGACTATAAAGGCAAAGGCTGTTAGATGGGGGTGTGGGTCAGCATGAATTGGCACCAAGTTGGCATAGGGGCTATAAAAGGCTACAGTGATGAGTGAAGAGACAAGGATTAGTATGGAGGTTATGAGGGGCCCTTGCTGATATAGGTTGACATAAGTATGGAAAGCTGGATAGATAATGAGGGGATTGAGAGGAATTGAGGGATGAGGGGTTAGACACCCTAAGGTTTGACAGCACAACTGAAGCAAAGTCACAAAGAATGAGGCAGGCATCTGAAGCAACTTGCCTTGCCACTTGACAACCCTCCAATCTACATCCCTGACCTACATCTGGGGATGGTCACTGACACATGGAGCAAAGATCCTGTGATTTGTGGCAGATGGTATGGTGGCAGGAAACTGACTCCACTCTGCACACCCTGCCTCTGAAGTGAAAATCCAGGCCAAAGAATGGAAGAAAATAAAAATCAGGATATAGATGGGGTCATTAATTGGTGTCCGTTATAAACCGTTAGGTTATAAATAGCAACATGGCAAAAATATTAGAAGACGATTTTGCCTGAGTGTTTAACAGGTTAGACTAGTATAATAGAATGATGTTGGAAGAAGAGATCAAAAAAGATATTTAAGATCAGATGAATGGAAACCTAATGGATAAATTATTCAAACTTCAAGATGATGAATTCCTGTTTTAGGTGACTTACAAAGTTGCAAATTAAGAAAGGCAAGAAACAGAACAGGCAATGTTACATCTATAAAGTAAATGAAAAAGAGAACAGTGTTAGAGTACTGTAGGATAGCTAATGTGATAGACAGACTGATAATTTCAGGTAAGTAAAGTGTAATAGCTTAACATCGCAATAGAATTGAAAAGCATTTCAAAACTGAAAATATGATGAGGAATTTTAATTCTGGAGACCATTATTTTAATTTATCGCAGACAGCAGGTCAGATTTGTGTATCAGACATCCAATATGGAATTCAGGACAAACAGCTTTATTCAGGCAATGATTAGAATGTGTAACTGCTGCCACCAAGAGCAGATGAGGTCACTAGCACTTTAGGGGAAGTAAGGTGAGCATGTAAGAGAGAATGAAACTGAAAGATATGTTGATGCAGTGAAAGAAAATTGGGAAGGGTCTCATGTGGGGCCCAAACATCATGATGCATCTTCTGGTTGAAATACCCCATTACCTTGCTGAAAGACTGTAATACTGCATAATATCAGGTCAAACAATCCAATTGCAGATTCTACTGAGCAGAAGTCCATAATGACACAATCTAGCAATATCACTTCCTAGTTTAAGAAGTTAGATGTGACAGCAAAATTGTAATGCTCATAAATTGTAATATTTTGTCAACTTGGGTTAATTAATACTGTTAGACAGTAGAAGGGTGATCATCTTGTTTACCCCTGACTTGCAAGTAAAATTGACAATGGATGCATGAGCTGAAAGCTTAATTCGCACGACCATCAATAATTATCTTAATAAGTTTAATAAAATGTGGATTTTTAAAACAGTTCACTCATAGAATGTGGGCGGCACCAGTTAGGCCAGCATTTATTGTCCATCTCGAATTGTGCAACTTATATACAGCATGTTTATTCAATCAACTTGCCACATCACAAAGTGGATGGGGGGGGGGGGTAGTCCTCAGAACTATTTTGGGAGCTGCTATTGGTCAGGGGTCTTGGTTACATCCAGAAACGGTCTGCATACAGTTCAAGGGACTGGTCACAGTCAGTCATCAGTTTGGGGTACTCGCCACTGGGGAACCTGTCCGATGTTTTCTTTAATTCCCTTGTGGAATGTGGGTGACACTGGCTGAGTCAGCGTATTGCCCATCCATGCTTGCTCTTGAGAAGGTAGGTTTGAGGTGCCTTCTTGAACCGCCGCAGTCCATGTGCTGTCGGTAGACCCACAATGCCCTCATGGAGGGAATTCCTGGATTTTGATCCAGCGACAGTGAAGGAACGGCAGTATATTTCCCAGTTTGTACGGAGAGAAATGTGTCGCCAACACCTTCTCAAGGGCTACTAGGGATGGGCAATGAATGCAGTCCCAGCCGGTGACACCCACATCCCATCAGTGAATAAAAAGACTTTTACTGCGACACCAGTTTGTCCTGTATACTTATCCAGGAACTTCAAGTAACCTGTGATCAATGCATCATGATTTGAAGTAAAATACACAAGCCATTAAAATAACTATTATTTAAATTTGAAGCACAATGAAGGACATGAACCTCAATGCACAGAGGGAATAAGTTAACTTGAACCCTGATTCATGGTTGCTGTGGAGACCCTGGCAAAATGAAGAAGAGTTAGGACCTAAACAATGCTATTAACCAAAGGCCCATCACCATGAGGGGAATCACAGAATCTTTCTGCTGTGTAAACAGGAGGAGGTAGATAAGGAGATAGTAGGAACTGCAGATGCTGGAGAATCCGAGACAACAAGGTGCAGGGCTGGATGAACACAGCAGGCCAAGCAGCA